AGTAGTGCATCCATCCTTGCTCTACTTAACCTCTTGGCGTTTTTTGATACAGTTCACCATGGTATTCTTCTGGAGCAGCTTTGGAAATTGGGAGGGGGGGGCTCTGTACTATCCTGGTTCACTTCCTTCTTCTGTGGCCATTTTCACTTAGTGTTAATAGGAGGTGAGAGATCCAGGCCTCACCCGCTGCTTTGTGAGGTCCTGCAGGGATCGGTGCTCTCTCTGCCCCTATTCAACAGTTTTGGGTGAAATCATCTGTCACTATGGTCTGAGATATCATCCATATGTTGACAATACCCAGCTGTATATCTCAGTATATAGTGAGTTAAGTGATGCCATGACTTCCCTCTTGAAGTCCCTGGAGGCTATTAGGGGCTGGATGTGGAGTAGCAGGTTGAAACTGAACCTTGGCAAGAGCAAGTGGCTCTGGGTTTGGGATTCTTTGGCCCAGGGAGAATTACTACCTTTGGTTTTAGGTGGGATGGCACTGCCCCAAATAGACCCTGTGTGTAATCTGGGGGTTCTCCTGGACTCACGACTCCTGCCCAAACAGCAAGTGGCAGTCATGGCCAGAAGAGCCTTTGTGCAACTGTGGGTTATGAACCAGTTACGCCCTTTCCTGGACCAACAATCCCTACTTACAGTCACTCATGCCCTAGTCACCTCCCATCTTGACTATTGCAACGCACTCTAGATGGGACTATCCCTGAAAAGCATCTGGAAGCTCCAGTTGGTGCAAAATGCAGCACCCACATGGTTTTGTGCAGACCTCGGTATACACATGTATTACCTCTTCTGCAGGAACTGCACTGGTTGCCAATTTGCTAAATGGTGCAATTCAAGGAGCTGGCTGTCACCTTTAAAGCCCTTCAGGGCTTGGGACCAAGATATCTGAGAGATCATGCCCTCTAGAGCAGGGAGGCAAGGAATGTTGTAGGTCCTGTCTCCTAAGGAGATACACCTGGCAGGATCCAGAAGAAGGGCCTTTTCTGTGGTGGCTCCCTCCCTCTGTAACATCATTCCTCTGGAAATTAGATAGGGCCTACTCTAACTCTCTTTCGGAAGCCCTGACTATGTGATTTTGCCGGTGGACCTGGAGAACCCAGAACGAGATGGAGCCCATTAAATGGCTGGTATGAATGTGTGTTGTCACCAGGGTGGGATTTGAGTTTGCTTGTTTGTTTATTTGTTTGTTTATTTATTTTTGTTGTTGTTGTTATTTCTTTTATATTGTACCTTTATGTTATATAAGCTGCCTTGAGTTACCATGTGGAGTAGCCAGTAATACATATTTTCTAAATAAATAAAAATAAATTAATAAGATAGGTATGACAGAGAAAATTCAACAGGTGATACTGCTTCACAAAAGGGATCTAGATCAGGGGTCCCCAACCGCCGGTCCGCGGACCGGTACCGGGCCGCGGAACAAGCCTTACCGGGCCGCTGGTTGCTGGGCGCCGCCAT